AGGAACTGTAGAGATATTTGTACATGCAAATGGTTTTACCTGCAAATTTGGAAGGCTTAGTTATGTGTGCACTTTGAACATATAGCTCTTATTCAGGGGTGAAAGTAGAAATAGGGACTTCCTGGTACGGGGCGGGGTTGGGGCTGGCTCTGCCCCCCGGAAGGGGCGGGGCCTTGGGCAGAAGGGGCGGGGATAGGGGGTCAGAGCCAGCCTCGGCCCACTCTGTACCGGTAAGTGCCCTCTCCCACCGGGTTAGCAGCGGCAGCTGGGGGCTCTGGCAGCAGTTTAAAGGGCCCAGGGCTCGGCCGCTGCTACAGCCCCGGGCCCTTTAAACCACTGCCGGAGCCCCCATCTGCTGCTGCTACCCCAGGGCTCCCGGTCCAGGGCCATAGAGGCAGCATGAGCCCCGGGCCCTTTAAATAGCCCCCAGAGCCCCGCCACTACTCCAGGGCCCAGGACTCCCCTGCTTCTACTGCCCCAGCCCTTTAAATAGCCCCCGGAGCCCTGGGATAGCGGCGGGGCTCCGGCGGCTATTTAAAGGGCCCAGGGCAGTAGAGGCAGTGGGAGTCCCCAGCCCTTTAAATAACCCCTGGAGCCCCGCCGCTACTCCCGGGCTCCAGCAGCAGGGCTCTTGCCACAATTTAAAGGGCCTGGGGCTCCAGCCACTCCTGGGAGCCCCAGGCACTTTAAATTGCCGCCTGGGGAATCTGGGCCGCCCCGGTACGGCGCACCGGCTCTTGCTGGTATGCTGTACCGGGGCGTACCGACTTGCTTTCACTTCTGGGAGGGCCCTTGAGAAGCCATGGGGAGAGAGCAAAGAAAGACGTATGTGTCCTTGGCAAACAATAGTGACACAGAAATTGCCACAGAAGAACTGACCCTGGGTCCATCTAGCCCAGTATCCTGTCTGTGACAGCAGCCAGCATCAGATGTTTCAGAGGAATGGGTAGACTATTTAAAAAAAAAATTGAAAAATTTAATTTCCTGAGTTGTGAGATGAAATAGTACTGACAAAAATATTGGTAGAAGAAGTTATTCAAGTAAAAAATAGCAAAATTTGTTTAATACTTAGTGAAAAATATTCAACTACCTTTATTCTTTACAAAGGGCATAACAGTTTCTAGTTAATGCTGGCCAGTACAGTTTGGTAGTAATCAAGATCACATGCTCAGGATTAGGGCCCCTATTCAGCAAAACACTTAGGTATGTGTTTAAGTCCATCCCTATTCAACTAGCCTTTGATCTCCAGCGAAACACTTAAGCGAGTGCTTAATTTTAAGCACGTGAATAGCCAGAATGACTTCAATGACACTGCTGATGTGCTTAATGTTAATGGTTTGCTGGATTGGAGCCAGAATGATTAGCACTTTGCAGGATGGAATCTCAAAGCACTTAAGCATGTGCCTGAAGTTAAGCACATACTTAATGTTGTGCTGAATAGGGATTGACTGCTGAACCAGGGCACAAGGCAGATTGTTATAATATCTTTTATGCTGGAAGTTTTATCTGGTTGTAGAAAGTACAGAGGCTGGGTCCCAGAGCCAAGAATGGAGAGGGAAATTTCTCCAGTTAGTATTAGAATGCTACTTTAACAAAGCATAAGAATGATATTGGGACAATGACTCAGATATTGAATATTATTTATTTCCTATTGCTTTGGTCATGTTAAGAATGTCACCCAGGACATGCTGGGGAAAATGTGTCTTTCTTCACATCCTGCTCAGAGAAGAGAGGCCCTAGGCAAGAGGGCCATGTCTAGCCAAATGGTTTAATTTGTAATAAGATACCAATTAAGCATTTCCCGAAGCTGTTTGCTAGTGAGTCACAACTACAGAGTCCAGAAACTTCCCAAAGAAAATGGGCTGCAGAAAAATGGAGAGGAGAGACCATCCAGCTGCAGTAAAACAACCCCATAAAAGGCAAATAATTAACTCAACAGTTACATTTTATATTTTTCAGTCTGATCTGATATTTACAGTAATGTTATGAAAATCTCTTTAGACCTACCATACTATTGACATTTTTAGACATTAATCTTAGAAATGGTGTGTTTTAACCTGAGAAACTAGATTATAGTAAATAGAACTACTTATTTTTATACTTACAGGTGGTCCCTTACTACACAACCTTTGTGAGTGGTGCAACTTTGTGGGATAGAGGCATTTACCATCCTGCTGTAAGTACTATCTCGGTCCCACTGTATTGCATTAATTGTTGTTTTGTATCCTGTGCATGGCTGCTCCACCCACACCAGTTCTCCACTCCTGCAGCGATACTTTGTCTTTAAGTGTTCTGTATGGAAGGGGCCTTGTACAGGCCCACGGACAATGGGTCAGTATCTGGCTCAGAAAATATCCTCTGCTTGAGCTATTTCCTCTCCTTGCATTGAACAAAATGATGTGTGTATTAATTCTGGAATCAATGAGACACAGTCAAAGCTATAACTCAGAAACCACAGCAATGGACATGTCAAAAATACCTAGGTAGCTAACTCAACAGCATTAACACCATCCAAGTAAATAAGTGTCAGCAACTGGAAAGACAAGTGTCGGTTACCAGGGTGATGGATGTTGGAGACAGACAGAACTCAGCCTAGGTTTCGCAGGGATTCATTATAATAAAGTGTCTTGTTACTAGACTAGCTGGACCTATCAAACTGCAACAAGAAAATATTTGACAGGAAACATAATCTTAACTTCTCCCCCTTACCCATACTACCTAACTCTTTAACTCCTTATTAGCTGAACAGTATTACTGCAACATCAATACCACACCAGCACACCTGAAACTCACACTACAACTGTCTGGGATTTTTTTTTGTTAGCTTTTGTGCTTGTTTTATTTCTTGCTGTGTTATGGGGCATTTATATTCTGATCGGATTTTGAGCTGCTATTGATCACATTATTGGATAGCTCTCAAACTTCCAATCCCTTAAATACCCCCCCCCCAAAGGATTATAAAACAATACAGATCCCTCCCCCCTCTCCCCCCCGAACAAATAAAACCTTGGAGTGCTCGCTCTGTGTAATGTTCCTCAGTGTTCTCTAGTATTATCACCTTTACCATTTAATGCACTATTCAAATGTCTATATACAGAGTATTTTAGGACTGTATAGATATTGAGATATTGATTTTATTATTCATCTGCTTGCTAAGAATCAAAATCAGCAGTATAGGTGTAATTTGCTCTTCAGTAGAGCTACAAAGCACAAAAATTACAAGAATAATTTCATCTTTCTCTTTCAAATAAAAATAAATAGCTGAGTTCATCAAGGAAATTGCTGACCTGCTTTTTCTTTCATTTGCTAATGATCCCCCTTTTCAGTGAATTAAGCTTGAGCCAACTGATTTTTCTGAAATGTGTACACGTACATCTAGTAAATTAATGTAAGTATGCCTATGAAGATGGTAGCCATAGGCCAGTGCTTTTCGTTGCCATGGATCCATTCCAGGCCTCTCTGATTGTAGCTTGTTAGGGCTTTGTTTATACAAGTAGGAACTGAGGAAAAATGGTTTTCAACTATTCTTGTAATTTACATTTTAACAGTTCTAATTGTACTAATTTCCTCCCTATTTAGTGTGCCTGGTAAGGACAGTAACCTTCAGTGATGACCACATGATTCTTAAAGTTCAAGCCAAAGGGCTATGCTCTGCCCTCATTTATTTTCTGTGCGACCTTGGGAGTAAGGGGTTATAACTGATGATAGAAATTTAGCCCCCAAAGTCTCTTTGTGCAGAATAAATAGACCTGGCAACTTACTTTATCTTAGACTCATTACAGCCATCTAGAAGGTCGTCTACAAACATGTTCCTTTAGTGTGAAGATTACAAAACAATCACTTGAATTTTATTTTCTCCCTGACTTGATTACCTATGATGCTTGGTAGATTTTTGCCAGGGAACCGAACCTCCTCCCCCCTGCCCCCGGATCCTGATTGTTTCTTTCAAAATACTCTGTTCATGTTTATGTTAAGCATTTGGCTTATTTTTGAGAAAACGTTGAGGCTTCTGTGACTACCACAGTAAGGTATCAAACCCTTGTAGCTGAGCTAGTTCCACTGGCACTACTGTTGGAGGAAGTCATAGGGACACAATGACCCTGAAAGTCTAGCATTGTAGGCTACTGGCTTAGATTACTGTACAGAGAGAAAATTACTGTCTAGAACAGCACCATGTATGTCGCCTGCTTGTAGGGCCTGCCGTGAGGGATATGAAGTGTGTGAAATCCTGCAGGGAACTGAGGAACGAGTATTATGATACATTGCCTTTTGCTGGTCCTATAGTTACCTGCACTAAAGGATCTGCAGAAATCTCTCCATGTTTACTGGCTGAATCTGTATCCTAGCAGGAATTCACATGCTTCATATCTCTCACTTTCTCTTTCTAGATATAGATAGCTACTGTATATCTAGAGAGATATTGGAGCTTATTCCGCCACCACGCTGGCAGTATGAAAGGGCTTTAAGGGGATGAAAAGGTGTCAATATAATTTCTGCCTACTTTACGGTCCCTTTACACTAATAAAGTGGTATAAAGGAACATTAGGCTAAATGAGAATCTTCCCCAAGTGTTTCTAAATATGCTAAGTGGCTTGTTTTGTAGTTGTTGTTGTTGTTTTCCATTCTGGTGATGAGCACCGTTAACCTGAATTTGGCTAGTTATGTTTAAAATTGTTCCAGACTGTCTGTGTCAAAGACAACATTAAGTGCTATAACTGAAATAAATTACTTCTGATTCACTATCACAAATACACATTAATAAAAAAATAGAGCCTAAGTTTGTGGCATCTGATATGCCACATTATTTATCATTTATATTATTATTACTAAGTTATTTGTATGGTGGTAGCACCTTGGAGCCCTAACCATGGACTAAAATTCCATCGTGCAAGGCTCTGTACAAATACGGAACAAAAAGGTGGGCCCTGCCCTAAAGAGTTTACAATTTAAGACAAGAGACAACAGATAGATACAGATGGATGAGGGAGTACAAGAAAACAATGAGACCCTATCATGCTGCCCAATACGAAGTAGTCTCTGCACACCAGCAGCCAGACCATGTATTAAAGTTCTACATGAACTAGGTAGAAAGTTCCAACTTTTGTTTGTTTCCTCCCTTCTTTTATTTTGTTCAGGTAAATCTTGCTGGTGGCTGTGTGTGAATCATAATATGTCCAGTCCAGTGATAATAATTTAGGTCACATCTTAAATTTTTACTTTCCACAGTCACTAGTATGATGTGAATGTATCAGAGTAGCTGCAGAAAACAGTTCAGGCAGGTACTGCACACCGGTGTGTGTAAGGGGGAGGTGAGTGAAGGGGAAGAGAACTGGGCCACATACACCCCTCCCCTGCTGCAGCCCTGGATGATCCAGTACTGCGCAGGGCACACACCCTTCGGGGTAACTCGAACCCATGCGGCCTCCTCCTCCCCTTACCCATGTGGTGTTTGAGAGAGACACAGTGGAGAGGAACCAGCCAAAGCGGGAAGTAGGGAGAGCAGATACAGAAAGCAGTTCAAACAGGCACCTAAGGATGCAGATGATGTCATCAGACTGCTTTTGGCAGTTTTCACTTTGAACATTGTCTCTCCTGTGTTGATTGGCTGTTTGTTCCTTGCCTCATGGTCTTCAGCCTCTTGTCACTTTTGTGCCTTCCTTTGTCTTTCCATCAAGCTAATCTCTCCTAACATCACCCCACTGAAAGGATTTAAAAACAAATAAAAAAAATCACTGAACTAACATGACATTTGCTGTCATTGTATTGTTCACTCTGCTTGTGTGATACCCCTTCCCTTACCCTGCATCTGTCTTGTCCATTTAGGTAATACGCTCTCTGGGGCATGAGCATCTTTTTCTATGTTTGTACAGTGCCTAGCACAATGGGACCCTATTAGTTGTTGGCCACTGTGCACTGCTGTAACAATAGATAGTCTGAGTGGGAATCTAAAGAAAGAACAGGTTTATCAATGGAAGTATACAGAAATGTTCAAGGTATATGTGCTTTTACCAAACAAATTCACTGCAAGGTGGTGGGAAAGACAAAGAGGCAAGTGGTTTTACCCCTTATATTATCAACTTCTGGGAGGGATACGTACTACTTTTCTGCCAGTGGCTCATCTTTCTTTTCTCTGTAATAAATATAATCAAAGAGTTAAACACTGAGTTCACTTCCTGCCCTACTACAGCTTCTCTTCCTAAAAGTTGCTTTGCTATTAGAGGACACATTTGCTTGTTCTTCTCCTTTTCCCTTCTATCCTGCAGAGGTACTGCATGCAACATTGAAGTCAACAGATGTGATCCTACTGCCCTTAGGTTTGCATAAAGTTAATGACAGTTGTACATGTAAGGGCTGCAGGCCCATCCCCATGATTTAACTCCCCACCACCTGATCGCCGCTTAAAGGAACTAGAATCAAATAACTTTCTTGTTGGCTGGGAGAAGCAAGTCCTATACTCAACTCAATGGCATTTCTCTGTTTGTTTGGAACATGATAATTTTTGAATGTTGCATCCTATCAATACCAGAATTTTAGGGGATGTTCTCGGCATCAGTGGGTGAAATCCTGCAGATTTTGGTGAAAATTGGAAAATACAAAGATGGAATGGGGGACACGCAGAGCCTCATGCATCTGGTTAGAAGACCCAGCAACTTCAGCCTCCTCGGAAATTGTTTAGAGATCAAAGTCCCAGTTGATGGCCGCCATTAACACCTTCCATCTCTCATGTCTGCCCATTCTTCTAATAGGGTTAAAAAATGTTCACACCATGAATGACTTATGAAAAGAAATAACAACGGTGGGAGGGATGAAGGGGCATAGGGGGCACACAGAATCCCTGGCAAATGGGGGGAAAATGAGGACCTGGGGAAGGGGGCAAGGGGGGACAGGGAGTCCCTGAAATAAAAGGGGAAGAGAGGGTGGCAAATAGGGAACTGTGGGGAGGGAGGGAATGGATTAGGGTGACCAGATGTCCCGATTTTATAGGGACAGTCTCGATTTTGGGCTCCTATTACCCCCCACCCCAGTCCCAATTTTTCACACTTGCTGTCTGGTCATCCTAGAATGGAGGGATGCGAGGAACCCTTAGTATGTGCAGTGCGCATAGCCTACAGGAGCAACAAATTGACCTCTAGTTTAGTTAAACTTTTTAATTTGAATAGCACCTGCTGCAAAATT